CAAGGCCGTCTCGACTTAGAGACTAGCAGCCCTCTCTAGAAAGTGACAATTCGAATGCTTGTATATACGCGTGTATGCTCTATGAATTCTCCAACGCGTTCTTTGCATCTGGGGATTATTTTTTTTTCCTCTCGGCTGACACGGAAGACGTGGATTATTGTTGGCTCGCGGAAATGCCGTCGGCGTAGTTGGATTGCATGTTGCGTTTGTAATGTTTCATTTGTGCGTTTCTTTGATTGTTGGGATACTTTCGACGAGGAATTAATGGACGTGGCTATCAAACGCTGGAGTAATCGGGTTGGAGGTAGAGAGAGACAGAAATAGTTTAGGATAAATACTGAGGTAGTTCGACGGGGAATCATCTACGCAGTATATTGCTTATACGCTGTATTTGAGACGAGTTGTATTTGTTACGCGTTGAGTACTCGACGCGTTGTGTACTCCACACGTTGTGTACTCCACGCGTTGAGTTCTCCACGCGTTGAGTACTCTACGCGTTGTGCACTTCAAGCGTTGTGTACTCCACGCGTTAAGTACTCCACGCGTTGTGTACTCCACGCGTTGTGTACTCCACGCGTTGAGTACTCCACGCGTTGTGTACTCCACGCGTTGTGTATTCCACGCGTTGAGTACTCTACGCGTTGTGCACTTCAAGCGTTGTGTACTCCACGCGTTAAGTACTCCACGCGTTGTGTACTCCACGCGTTGAGTACTCTACGCGTTGTGCACTTCAAGCGTTGTGTACTCCACGCGTTAAGTACTCCACGCGTTGTATTTGTCACACATTGTGTTCTCCAAGCGTTGAGTACTCTATGCGTCGAGTTCTCTACGCGTTGTGAACTCCACGCGTTGTATTTGTCACGCGTTGTGTTCTCCACGCATTGAGTACTCTATGCGTCGAGTTCTCCGCGCGTTGTGAACTCCACGCGTTGAGTACTCTACGCGTTGTGTACTCCACGCGTTAAGTACTCCACGCGTTGTATTTGTCACGCGTTGTGTACTCCACGCACCGTATTCTTCACGCATTATATTTTCTACGCGCTGTACTTCTCCCGCGCTGTATTCACAATACGTATTGTACTCGTTACACACCATACTCGTCACACGTTGCATTCACCAAACCTTATACACACACTCGTCACTCGTAACATCCCCCATCCTTATATCACCATTGTACTTCCTCGCGTTATATCGCCACTCTACTCTCTCCCAAGTACTTAACACCTCACCCAAAACTTGCAAACCGCTACTTGCAAACCGAATGCACTACAATTTTAATACAACAACCGTATGCTTTATATTTCTCGCAAAAAATCAATAGTATCAGGAAGAGTTTCATGCGTAAAGTTATCATCGCGTTTTCATTTTCCCTAGCGTAGAATTTATGGCGGGTTCGCATCAGGGAGCATTTTATCGTTGAAGTTCGACACCACCCGGTGAGAGAGGTGATTCTAAAAACGCGACGTCGTGAGAGTGTTTTACGTGCGACGGGGAGGGCAGAATGGAAGGGGGTGAAAAAAGTGGTCGTTGCCAAAAAGGTCTCAATGTCGGAGATACAATCGTCGATACGGGGAAATGAGGCACATGGATGGGCTCATTATCGATTCGGCATCGGAATTGCTCAATTTGCGGTGGTCATTCCCGGGACCTACATACGGGTTTGTAAAAACAAAGTTCGACAAGAAAACGTCGCGCGACAATAAAGCTTTATTTGTCGTTTGGATATAAAGCGTATGTTCGGAGGCTGCTTTATGCGGCAAAAAGGTTGGGGCTGTTACGTAAGGGATTGGAGGGACTGCGTGAGATGTCATATTCTTGACTGTTAGTGGTACTTTATATTAACTGTTTATGTTAATTGTGGTAATTAGTCAAATTTTTAATATTGTTTTTATTATTTCTATTATTTGTTTTTTATTATTTTTAATGTTTTCTGTATTGTTTTTTATTGTTTTTTATTATTTTTATTGGCTGTTATAACTTAGGGCACTTTTAATAATATTTTGTATGTGGTAATTGTTTTAATTAATCAGACTTTTTAATAATAAATATTGTTATATAGTAATTGTGATTGTCAATCATATTTTTAATATTAATTTGTACATACTAGTTATATTAATTGATTATATTTTTAATAATATTTTGTACATATTAGTTATATTAATTAATTATATTTTTAATTCTGTTTTGAGCATACTAATTGTATTAAGTAATTATATTTTTAATATTAATTTGTACATACGAGTTATATTAATTAATTATATTTTTAATAATATTTTGTACATACTAGTTATATTATTTAATTATATTTTTAATTCTGTTTTAGCATTCTAATTGTATTAATTAATTATATTTTTAATATTATCTTGTACATACTATTTGTATTAATTAATTATATCTTTAATAATATTTTGTACATATTAGTTATATTAATTAATTTATTTTTAATTCTGTTTTGAGCATACTAATTTTATTAATTAATTATATTTTTAATTTTACCTTGTACATACTATTTGTATTAACTAATTATATTTTTAATTTTATCTTGTGCATAATATTTGTATTAATTAATTATATTTTTAATATTGTCTTGTGCATATCAATTGTATTAATTAATTATATTTTTAATATTAATTTGTACACAAAACTTGTACTAATTAACCACATTTTTAATATTATTTTGTAAATACCAGTAGCCTTAATCAATAAAGATTTTTACAACAATTCTGTGTATCTTTCTTGTTTCAATAACTCATTTACCAGAAAGTATTTTCATGTTTCATTATCAAATAGCGTCTAGACACCACTTATTTAAACAGGTACGTACAGTTTCATATTCAACATCTTACAAAATGGATATTATAATTTAAATATTTATGATGGTAAAGAGCTACGTTCAAAAGAATGTTTACTTCGATCGTGTCTATATTTAGAAATTTAATTGGTATTTAAATAGTGTATTACCATTCATTTATAGCTGAATTCCTTAAACTATATATCACGTTTCTGTCTCTAATGTGTATCCATAATTAGTTATATAATTAGTGTAATAGCTAAGGAAAACATAGAACTAGTAAATAATTTATTAAGAGACGCATTATTTAATTTTAAGCGCGAAAGTTGAGAACAGTGCTATTAGCAGCATCTCGTAGAGAACCACAGAACTAAGATAAGACAAAATTATATTTTTAATAAAAATTATACTGTTTTAGTTAATTTTGAGAATAGTAAGATGATGTAGGATCATAATTTTAGTGGATTAATGAAATTTTAGTGGGCTGCAAGCTTTGGGATTGAATTTTGAAAAAATTGTCGATTTATGGACTAAAAAATTGGCTAGCATCTAGCGGTGAAAGTTGGAACTAACGAAATATAAAATATCGATTTTCTTCAAAATTATTAACTTCTGTGCGTAAAGAAGGGTAGAATAGTAATCTACAATCTTAATTCTAGTAGATAAATGATATTTTAATGACCTGGAAGCGTTAGAATAGATTTTGAAAAAATTGTCGATTTATAGACTAAAAAATTCGCCAGCATCTAGCGGTGAAAGTTGGAACTAACGAAATATAAAATATCGATTTTCTTCAAAATTAATAACTTTTGTGTATAAATAACGCTAGAATAGTGTTCTACAACCTTAATTCTAGTAGATTAATGTCATTTTAATTAGCTGTAGGCGTTAGAATAGATTTTGAAAAAATTGTCGATTTATGGACTAAAAAATTGACCAGCATCTAGCGGTGAAAGTTGGAACTAAATTTCCGTACCTTCAGCCGGAATACACCTTCACATAATTAATGTTTTCAAGCTCTCACAATTAATAAAACATAACAGTGATGTATTAAACCATAAAATAGACTTTAATTATTCATAATATACTAAATATTTCAATTTTATTTCATTAAAATAGCAATGATAACATTTTGAAGTGTTCGACAGTCGATAATATAAATTCAAGACACTTATTTTATTATATTTATCGTTTTTTAGTTTATTTAATGATTTTACATGAAGTATATACGTGATTTTTTAATATTTTATTAAGTGTAACAAGAGAAAAAAGGCAATTTTCGAAAGTGGAGTTTGGAAAATTTATTTTGTTTTAGTTCCAACTTTCACCGCTAGATGCTGGTCAATTTTTTAGTCCATAAATCGACAATTTTTCAAAATCTATTCTGATGCCTCCAGCAACTTAAAATATCATTAATCTACTAGAATTAAGGTTGTAGATTACTATTCTAGTATTATTTTTACACAAAAGTTAATAATTTTGAAGAAAATCGATATTTTATATTTTGTTAGTTCCAACTTTCACCGCTAGATGCTGGTCATTTTTTTAGTCCATAAATCGACAATATTTCAAAAATCGATTCCAGCCTTCCTAATCAATTAAAATGTTGTCAATTTAATAAAGTTATGATTCTAGATTGATTTCCTAGCCTTAATTATGCACAGAAGTTCGTAATTTTGCAGAAAAATGCAATTTTATATTTTCTTAGTTTCACCTTGCATCGCAAGATGGCGGCGTCTGTGCGTTCCAAAGCGCGCGCTATTCAAAATCACAAACATACAAGTTAGAATAATTCAGTTGTCAGAAGATTTAACTGAAACATTATTACATACAAAAAAATATACTAATTCCCTTAAAAATCTATAACAATCTCTCAAAATTAAACAAAACCTGCTATCTACCATTTAATTAAAAGAAAATTTAAATTACAATTCACTAAAAGCAAAGAAAATAATTTTGTAACAAACAATTATTAACTCAAGCCAATTTATCTATTCGAAGTAAAAGATTACTATGTTCTGATCAACCAAAATAAATTATTCAACAACCCAAAGCTATTAATTATAAATTCCCATATCGCAAGGTTACTAATTGAAATATAACTCCTGTCATTTTTTAACGACACTAATCAATTTTTTTTAATTGGGAACACCAGCAATTATTTCAAGAACAGGAATAGTAATGAAGGTATCAATCACTGTCACAGTAATACATATACAACAATCTTTTTATTCTAATTCCTCGCATTAAAAAAGTCAACGCGATCAATCATTGACGATAACAGCTGTTCCTTACACATATACATAAATCTACATTTTTGGCACGTCGAAATAATTCGAATTAATTCGGATTTATTTTACAAAGCATGACTTCATCGCTTCCTGAATGGAGCTAATAAATCTTTTACGGCGGTGGGAAGATTTTGTTGAACGGGATACGACTGTAAATTTCGTTGCTGATCTTCGCGAAGACCAAACCGAAGGTCTCCTCGTATGGTGCTTGGAGTTCTTTGAACAGCAGATCAGAGTTCTGGTTGATGAAATTATTCATTTGCTCACCTGCAACAGAGGAACATGGAAATGAGTGTAAGTCGTTTAATAGTACGTGAGTCATGTTATAATGAGGCAACTGTGCTTTGTAAACAGCGAATGTTACGTTGGGACATTATCTGGTCTTTAATCGAAACTATGACATCAGTGGACGCGATCATTTGTCTTTGGGTTTAATGAGAATTATTGTTACTGATGTGCAATGTAATTCCACGCGCCCTAATTCCACGTATGGATAATTTCACGCGCGGTAAATCTACGCGTAGGTAATTGCACGCGTCGGAACTCCACGCACAGATAACTCCACGCGTAGATAATTCCACGCGTCGCAATTCCACGCGTACGTAATTCCACGCGTCGCAACTCCACACGCTGTAATTCTACTCATAGATAAATCCACGCGTAGATAATTCCACGCGTTGTAATTCTACGCATAGATAACTCCACGCGTAGATAATTCCACGCGTTCCAACTCCACGCGTTGGTAATTCCACGCGTCCCAACTCCACGCGTAGAGAATTCCACGCACAGATAACTCCACGCACCGTAACTCTACGCGTAGATATTTCCACGCGCCGTATCTCCACGCGTAGATAATTCTACGCACCGTAACTCTACGCGTAGATACTTCCACGCGTCGTAACTCCACGCGCTGCAACTCTACGCGTAGATAATTCCACGCACAGATAACTCCACGCACCGTAACTCCATGCGTAGATATTTCCACGCGCCGTAACTCTACGCCTAGATACTTCCACGCGCCGTAACTCCACGCGTTGTAACTCTACGCGTAGATAATTGCGCGTGTCGGAACTCCACGCGTTGTAACTCCACGCGCTGTAACTCTACGCGTAGATACTTCCACGCGCCGTAACTCCTCGCGTAGTTGACTACAGTGCCCATTCCAAGAATACATAACACCATAATACTATTACACCTACCCAACAAAGTGTCTCCATCAAAAAGGTTTTCAAACCGTAACGTGACTCGAGAAGGCGAAAACTTGACATCAAACTTCTTCACCCTCAAATAAGTCTCCCCATTCTTCTGGTACTTCTCGCAGTGTATGTCATTGTGTGTCCGTAAATTATCTAGAAATACAAATTTAAATAAAAAAATCAAGCACCTGACTGTTGATTAAAGAAATATATATTATCACTTGATACTTTCTTGATGCTAATATTTTCTTGAGGCTTATTGTTACTCATTCAACACAATGAAACTTGTGACACTCTTGTGAGCATTCAAAATTAAAAATTGCAAGAAAAATATGAAAAAAAGAAATTGTTAAAAGAAATAGATTATACTTACACATTGTGATATTAGATTTGCCAGCTCCCCTAACAGGCAGCAACAAAATCCTCCCATCGACTTTATAATCAGCAACAAAATCAACTTGAGGATTCAAAGAGTCCGACGACAGCAGACACTTATCCCAGTCGATGCTAAAAAACGAACGACGTCTTATTAATTGCTTTTTTCTTCACTCTTTTTTCTGTCTGAATGACGTCTAAACGCAATCGAATACGAATTCACGACACATGATTGCGTTTAGACGTCATTTTGTCATCAGGCAAGATGGTCGATGCACATCATGAAGTCTTTTCACGAACAATTACGCAAACATTAACCGGTGCTCATTCGAGGGGATTAATTTTATTTACGAGACATTTTTGTAATCTTTTACGAACATCGTGATTTCTTTGTGGATAATAAATAACTGACTCATAGTAAATGTAATGGGTACTTTAGTGCGTTGTAGATCGAGATGCAAGTTTGTGGTTGGGTTAGGTTGGATTGTGGTTAGGCTGGGTTAATTTGGGAGATGGAGATTTGGTGGTTTAGGAATTGGGGGTTGGAGATTTGGAAGTTTTGAGGAGGTGGAAAATTGAGAATTTGGTGATTTGGTAAGTTGGGGAGTTGTGGAGAGGGATGTTTGGGAATTTGGGAGATGTTGAGGTGGAAATTTAGAAATTTGGGAATTTGAAATTTGGGGAATTTAGGGTTTGGGGAGATGGAAATTTGAGGGATTTGGAATTTGGGGAATTTGGGATTTGAGGAGATGGAAATTTAGGGAGATGGGAATTTGGGGAGATGGGAATTTGGAGGATTTGGAATTTGGGGAATTTGGGATTTGGGAAATTTGGGATTTGAGGAGATGGAAATTTAGGGAGATGGGAATTTGGAGGATTTGGAATTTGGGGAATTTGGGATTTGGGGAATTGGGAATTTGGAGAATTTGGGATTTGGGGAGATGGAAATTTGGGGAGATGGGAATTTGGGGAGTTGAGAATTTGGGGAGATGGGGATTTGGGGAATTTGGGATTTGGGGAAATGGAAATTTGGGGAGATGGGAATTTGGGGAATTTGGGGTTTGGGGGATTTGGAACTAGGGGAATTTAGAATTTGGGGGATTTGGAATTCGGGGAATTTGGGATTTGGAGAATTTGAGAATTGGGAAATTTAGGATTTGGAAGATTTGGAACTAGGAGAATGTGGGATCTGGGGAATTTGGAACTAGGGAAATTTGGAATTTGGGAAATTTAGGAATTTTTAAGGTTAGTACCTTAAATATTTTAGGAATTTGGAAATTTAAAAATCTAGAAATTTTGAATTTTTATTATATTAATTTTGAAATCAATAACTTACTGATAGTTTTTGATTTCGAGGTTCTTGGTAAGACCATGTAGTTTAATATTCTTGTATTCCTGTCTCAAAGTAACCGATCCCTGAGATTCACCAATTTTCACGCTGTCCACAGCCAAAGGTTCTAATGGAAGGATTTTGAAAGCCTTCATACCTGCAATTATAAAAAATTTATTACATTATTGACAAACACCTAATTATAATATAATGAAGTATGCGACATTCTCTGTGACACTTTGAACACTGTGGCACTGTATGTATAATTGCACCCGGTTAAAGTGCACATTTCAATCGAAGCAAGAAAGTAAAGGGACAGTTGTCAAGGAGTCAAGGAGAACCTCTGCAAATTACTAGCCGCGATTATGTCGGTGAAACTAATGCCCGTTTTGAGGAAATGCGCAACCGTGCATTGCTCCGGTGAAATCAACACAGTAATCTGTTCGTGGCATCGGACTATCAAGAAAGGAAAAAGAAAACGTTCTAAAAAGTGGCGGGTAGTTTCGCTTGGAATTCCTTTTTCATTTCGATTTCTGACCGAAGGGAAATATGGTGCTTTACTTCAAACATAGTTTCATAGTTCATATAATAGAAATTGTATTCTAATTTTTAAATTGCTTATTGTTCATTGTGAGTGTTTCTTAAATATTGCCACTGCAAGACAAATAAAAAATTATGTAACAAATCAGTGAATAAAATAAAAGGAAAAATTTAAGGAATTTAAAAAAAATGTTCATGTAAAATTGAGGAATAAAATTGATGTTCTTATGCAATTTAAATAAAAAAACAATTGTACTATAATTAAAGGCAGTGTACAAATTTAATAATTGTTTCGTTTAATTAAATAAAATGAAGAATGAATAAAATTGAAAAAAAATTAGGAAGCAAAATGGTGGAACAAGACTGTCTCCATAAAATATAAAATAATAAAATAAAGACTTGTACTGCAGTTAAAAATTGCATATGCAAATTTAGTAATTAAAAAAAGTGAAGAATGAGTAAAATTTTAAAAAATTTGCAGTAAAATCGTGGAACAAGATTGATGCCTCCATGAAATATTAATGAAGAAATAAAATCTTGTACTGCAACTAAAAACTGCATAAAATAAAAAATTAATAGAATTCAAAATAATTCTGAAACAAAATTATAAAACGTGTCTCTATGTAATATTAATGATAAAATAAAAACTTGTACTGCAACTAAAAACTACATATTTAATAATAAAATAAAAAATGAATAGAATTCGAAATAATTCTGAAACAAAATTATAAAACGTGTCTCTATGTAATATTAATGATAAAATAAAAACTTGTACTGCAACTAAAAACTACATATTTAATAATAAAATAAAAAATTAATAGAATTCAAAAGAATTCCGAAACAAAATTATAAAACAAGACGACTCCATTAATAAAGAAAACTTGAGCCACAACAAAGAATATAAAATAAAGGTAATAAATAAGAGAACGTAACAGTGATTTGATTGCAAAAGTACTCTACTTTTAATTATAATAAACGTATGCATATATTAGAATCACATGTATAATAAAATATGAAATATCACGCAAGGTGTTTCGTAGTAAAAGCGACGGAGATACCAGTTTCTCAATGAAAATTCCGCGGAAGAGTGGGAGAACAGTCGGTCAGGTGAAATAGTTATGTAACCGGTGGCATAATGACAACTGTTCGTTAACCGTACAGTATCGATAATAACTATGATTTCGTTGATCGATTGTCAGATTTAACAGATCATTTACTGATTGAGCAATCATTTACTTGTCCTGCAAATATTTTTCTATTTTTATTTCATGTTTCTCCATTTTAATTTCATTGTTAAAACTAAACCTACCAATTTGCAATACTTACTCTGAAATTAAAAATGAAGTCCAAAAATAAATAAGCAAATAATGAAATATATAAATTAGTATACATATTAATTCTTCACCTTCATGAAGATTACCAAAGATTCTAAAGAAATTGTCTTGTAAATAAATTTTGTAAGTAAAAGTAAAAAACTTGTGTAAGGTCATTTGACTTTTCTGATAGTTTCAGTGTTAAAGTGAATTACTTGAAAAGTGATAGTAAATAATTAATTAAACATTGAAAGATTACGTTTAAATTCTTCTTAAGGATGGAACAATAACCTACTCGTAAACTTATTTAATAATAATTTGCATGAGTAGTTTACTATTTTAACAAGAAGTATAAATGTACTGCATATTATATATTATTAAATTACCACTTTTTTTTTTATCTTGTTCTGTCGAACTGACATACTGAAAACATTCATCAAAAATGCAAGAAAATGTCACATGAACAATACATTTATTTTAATTATTAAGTAAGTTAAAATTATTTTTAAAATTATATATGTAAGTTTATGTAAAACTTGTTCTGTCGAATTGACATACTGAAAACGTTCACCAAAATGCAAGGAAATGTCACATAAATAATACATTTTTATTTATTGTTAAGTTCAAATTATTTCTAAAATGATACATGTAAGTCAAAATTATTAATCATTAAAATCATTCATCATTTGTCACAATTTGACAAGTTTGCACACTTCATTGAAATTAATCATTGTGTCCATTAACTTGTCAATTAATGTCAATTAATTAATATTAAAAATTACCACAGTAAAAATAACAATAACAAAAACTTAAGAAGAAAATACTTGATCTCACGAAAGTAGAAGAACAAAATGGAGTCACTCACCTCCAGCCAAAGAAACAATGGCATCCCTCGCACTCTTACTGATGCAATCATAGTACTCCTTCTCCGGTAAGGATCTATCGCAAACTTTGAAGGTGCTCGCTGAAAAATAACGAAGCAAAAGAAAGAACAAGTGAGAAAATATCGCAAACACGAGTGTTACATAAGCCAGGTTGCAGTGGATCCAATAAAGTGCAGCACCAGTTACAAGCAGCCGAACTGAAGCTCGGAATTGACTTTCTCTTTAAGCGTGTCCCCGTGGTCTAATGACTTTTCGACCGAATCGCAAAAATCGATTGACCGTTTCACGGGAATGGCTTGTAAATACCCTTCGGCGAGATGCACAATTTGTTTGAACGGTGGAAAGCGGGGTCCGCCATTTGCTTTCGATGGGGTATAAATACTCAATTTGGAGAACGAAGTTATTTACGTTGGTTTATTTGTCTGTGGTTTTTATGTATTCAAGTTTTTGTGGAAGGGATCTTTGAATTTTTGGGGTTTCAAATTTTTGAGATATTCAGTTAAAGAATTTTTTGAAGAATGTGGGAATTTGGGGAGTGAGTAATTTTCTGATGTTGGAGTTGTTAGGTGGATGTGGAATTGGATAGTGTGATGTTTGCAAATTGATGTACACTCAAATTCCTGTGTTTTAGAATATCTGTGGTTCCAAATACCGGTGGCTCTAAAATTCTACATTTCCAAATTTCTGCACTTTCAAATTCCTATATTTCGAAATTCCTACATTCCAAAATCTCCACATTTCCAAATTCCAACACTTCCAAATTTCTACACTGTCAAATCTTCCAAATTCCAACACTTCCAAATCCCTACACTTCCAAATCCCCACATTTCCAAATTCCAACACTTCCAAATCCCTACACTTCCAAATCCCCACATTTCCAAATTCCAACACTTCCAAATCCCTACACTTCCAAATCCCCACATTTCCAAATTCCATCACTTCCAAATCCCTACGCTTCCAAATCCCCACATTTCCAAATTCCAACACTTCCAAATCCCTACATTTCCAAATCCCTACACTTCCAAATCCCCACATTTCCAAATTCCAACATTTCCAAATTCCAACACTTCCAAATCCCTACATTTCCAAATTCCCACATTTCCAAATCCCTACATCCCCAAATCTCTACATTTCCAAATCCCAACACTTCCAAATCCCCACATTTCCAAATCCCTACACTTCCAAATCCCCACATTTCCAAATTCCAACACTTCCAAATCCCTACATCCCCAAATCTCTACATTTCTAAATTCCTACATCCCCAAATCCCTACATTTCCAAATTCCTACATTCCCAAATCCCCACATTTCCAAATTCCAACACTTCCAAATCCCTACATCCCCAAATCTCTACATTTCTAAATTCCTACATCCCCAAATCCCTACATTTCCAAATTCCTACATTCCCAAATCCCCACATTTCCAAATTCCAACACTTCCAAATCCCTACATCCCCAAATCTCTACATTTCTAAATTCCTACATCCCCAAATCCCTACATTTCCAAATTCCTACATTCCCAAATCCCCACATTTCCAAATTCCAACACTTCCAAATCCCTACATCCCCAAATCTCTACATTTCTAAATTCCTACATCCCCAAATCCCTACATTTCCAAATTCCTACATTCCCAAATCCCCACATTTCCAAATTCCAACACTTCCAAATCCCTACATCCCCAAATCTCTACATTTCTAAATTCCTACATCCCCAAATCCCTACATTTCCAAATTCCTACATTCCCAAATCCCCACATTTCCAAATTCCAACACTTCCAAATCCCTACATCCCCAAATCTCTACATTTCCAAATCCCTACATCCCCAAATCTCTACATTTCCAAATCCCTACATCCCCAAATTCCTACATTCCCAAATTTCTATATTTTCAAATACCTACATCCCCTAATCCCTACATCCCTAAATCTCTACATCTCCAAATCTCTACACCCCCAATTCCCATCATCTCCAAATCCCTACATCACCAAATATCCTCTAAATTACTATACTTCAAAGATCTCATGGACCATTCTTTGACACTGACCTTAATCCGTAACTCTTGAGCAACACGTGGCTGCTAAATTGATTCATAAATATCTTGATATCTCTATGTATCTAATGAAATGCTTTCCTTAGATTATTCAGTTCAAAGTACCTTATATTATATTGCAGATAAAATATCTGAAATGCTTGAAGTATCTTATGGAGTACCTTATGTACCCTGTACAGTGTCTTGAATACTCTAATTATTTTATAAAATGCTTTATATTGTCAAGTTTCAAGTCATGTCATTAAAAATATGATACTGCAAGTTCTTTATAAGTGTCTTGAGTACCTTAAATACTCTTTGAAATACCTGCAGGATCCTAAATTTACTATCAAGCTTAAATTAATATCTTGACTTGTTATCAGTATTTTAGTAGATTTACTACTAACATTTTTTAAATCACTATTTGTTTCAAAAACAAAATTTGAAGAATTAATCATCCCTAAAAATGTGTTATAACATCAGAACAATCTCTGAACTGCAACAGGATAAATAAACTAACCTTGTAAAGTTAAACTTTCATTAAACTGACACCCTAAAGTGGGGTAACTAAAAGTGGTAACTCTAAAGTGGATTAACTGGCGCTCTAAACACTCTTAAACAAAGATTACCCTAAGAACTCCCATTCATAACTAAAACTGCCTCTCACAATTAAAATTCTCCCAAAAATTAAATTTCACAAAATCACACTTAACCACAACCTAACACAGAATTCTCTAATCACAAAAATCAGTCCAAAAATTACAAAATTAATAATAAAAATTAACGACTCACGTAATTCGACAGCAATGGCCGACAGCACAAAGGCAGCAGCCACCAACGCAACGAAAATCCTCTTCATGATGTAATCCCTTCAAGGTTTGTAATCCCTTCGAACTTCTCTAGCTCCTTCCCGATGAAAATTCCTCGGGACAGCTGAATGTGGACTGAAAGAAACGGTCATTGATGCAGTCTATTTAAGCAGCACCATCACCCCACCATCTGGCTAACCAGGAAACTTTGCCTCTTTCCTGCACGATTATGAACAAAACGAATCCTTTAGTATCATATGTAAAACGATTTGATGTATCAGTTCAGATGTTTCTGAAAATGGAAAAGTTTTTGTTGTACGTGATTTCATTCACGGACCCTGGAATTTTATGTAGCGTGATTCATCCCTGTTTGTTTTCATTCTTGAGTTAATGAATGGTCTTCGTATTAGCTTAGTAATGTTTCTTTGATTTTTATTCTGACTTAAAATTGTTATCGACGTAATTATTATAATTAATCATTGTAGTCATTATTGACTGTTAGCAATTTTGGTAAATGTTTATTATTGTTTTGAATTATTTTTTAGATATTTTTTTAATGGCTTTGTAAAGTAGAATTTTTGGTAACAAGTGTGAAAGGGGTTAGTCAGACATTTTGGTGGTTTATTAACTTTGTTAGGTCAGGTTAGGTGGAAAGCGTTCACTTTGAAAGTAAGTGCTTTGCATTCTCAGTTCACACTTTTGCTCTTTTCTTCCTTTTCAGGTTCGCGAACCGGGGCGTTGCTTGACCGAATTAATTTCTGTGTTTCTGAAACTGGAACAAACTTCTGCGAACTGAGAGTTGCTCAAATAATTATTTTTCATGGCGTCAAATTAAAAATTGTTAAAAGTTCACGCTGGTGTATTCAATATTATACAAATATATCCTTCAATTTTATTTAGCAATCTTTGCTATATAAGAGATAGTGTTTGCATTATCCTTATGGGGAAAATGACATAAAAAGACTGCTGACAGATAATTAATTATGCACTTTGTTTATAAGAATCTTTGGTAAAGAATTTTTATAGAAGAGCACTGTTGAGTGCATTGACGTAAGAGGAAAGTGGGGTGTTTTTATATGTTTATCTTCAGAATAGTCTGAAGATGGTTTATTAATAGTGTTGAGTAACAATATTGATCGAATTGTTTTTAAAAATTTGGAAGATTTGAAAACTGGGAGCTTTGGAATTTGGAGAAATTGTAATTTGGGGAGGTAGAAATTTGAGGATGTAGGAATTTGGGAAGGTAGGGGTTTGGGACAGTTGGGATTTGGGGATGTAGAAATTTGGGGATATAGGAATTTGGGGAGGTAGAAATTTGGGAAGGTAGACATTTGGGGAGGTAGGGATTTGTGGCAATTGGGATTTGGAAATGTTGAGATTTGAGGCAATTGGAATTTAGAGAGGTAGGGAATTGGGGAAGGTGGGAATTGGGGAAGTTGGGAATTGGGGAATGTGGGAGTGGGGAATGTGGGAATTGG